ACCGCTCGACGAATACATGCATGTGTGGGCACACAGACACAAACAGTCGCGAACCCACGCAGACAGAGAGAGAGAGAGAGAGAGAGAGAGAGAGAGAGAGAGACGCACACAGAGACAAACGCATGCCCTTATTCAGCTAAAAACCTGTCGGCGGTTGCCATATTCTTCCGGGACTTAACTAACTAGCTCGCACTCGCAACTATGCCTACCTTTGCCATAACAACTAGGACTAGGACTAGGCACTACACTGCGCTGACATAATGACTTACGAATGATTGAGTGGCTCCCGACTCCCGGGATGAGCATTCATTTCTGGTGTTTGTGCCTGCCTCAACACGCTCCCTGCCCCGAAAACAGCAATAGTAACCAGCAATTGCAACATCACCGTCTACAGTCTATGGGCCTTGCAGCGCACTGTCTTCAGAGTAGCCAACAGAAGGGGCTCAAGGTTGATGCCTGCGGCCTCCTCGCCGTCAAGATCCACGGATTGGAGCACTCCCCAAGCAAGTGCAGCATCAAATGCGCCAGGCTCGGCATTCTTGGCCGATTGGCACAAGTCCTTCAACCTCGCAGTCTGCAAAGCTGCCTGATTTGTCGCCTGCCACATGGCAAACTTGTCGAGGGCTTCCGCGTAGCCGTCCACCGGCTTCCCCACGGCTGGGACTTTGGAAGCCCGGTTGAGGAAGTCCTCGATGTTCACACCCACGATCGACTTCAGGTCGCTTTCTTTTGCAATCGCTTCCATGAGCAAAGGAATCAAACCCTGGAGCATGGAATCCAGCTCTTGAAGAGCACCCTTGCGGAGGTTGCTCGCCAAATGATCCCTTTTGTCCAACACCTCAGAGACTAGCTTCAAAGCTGCAGGGCAATCCATGGGGGCAGACTCGCCCTGGGCATCCCGGACGATCTTGTCCATGTCTGCCACATACTGCCGGATGACTGGGGCAAACTCCTTGACTGCCGAGCTTGCGCGCTGCTCTGCATCGAATGCCTCCTGCCAGAAGGAACCCTTCTTGCCAATGGCATTCTTGATCTCGGCCTCCATGTAGTCGGTGCCCGGATACTTGGACAGCACGAATGCATCGCGGAAAGTGCAGTCCATGTAATTCGGGAGTGGAGCAGCCAAGCAGCAAATGCACTTGCAGAAAGTTGTGACTCGGTCAATGCTGCTCCGCATCAGACTTGGAAAGTCGTCCGGGATGTGGGGAGCCTGCGCATTGAGGGCTGTCAGCATGGCAGAGCATATATCCAAGAGGCGCGAGTAGCTGGATGTGGATGTTGCAGGGATTAATCCCAGCAGCGTGTCGTTGGCGAAGGCATCAACCCATCCATTCGCCAGTGCCTTCACATATTGGGGCCCACCGTGAAAACACAGAATGGAAACTATGGAGACTAGTAACTAGCAGCACCGTTCGACGATTTGGCCATGGCCCATGGTTTTGAAACACGTCGCAGCCTGTTTCAAGCTGTACCACAAAAATTAGATTATTAGAGTTACCAGAGTCTTGCCAAGACGGCAGAAAGGAGTGTACCCCACATTGCAAAAAGTAACACTACGGCACTAAGGATGACATCGGGCGATCAAAACAACACTATCACTATGGCTACCATGACTACGAAAAGCTGTACAGTGTACGTGGAACGACTCTTTTGCAATGCCTGCTACAGAACTTTCCCCCGAGCGGCTCTAGCAGTAATTACTTGTACCAACTTTTTGACTTATAGGACCTATAGACTATACTAATTACTCTAGACCTATACGGACGTACCCTAGGGTCCTAGAGCTACCAGCTACCAGCCCTGCCACCACACACTGCTTCACTCAACTCCCAGCCATATTGAAGTCAGCTACTGAGAAAGGAACAGGCCCAGCCTCCCAGCGACTCTCGATCTCTGCTTCCACTTCCGCTGCCTGCTCATTCCCCTTCTCACTACCCAGGTCTCGGGCTTCCCGGCTCCGGCGCTCATCATCTCCTGACAGCTGCATCGCTTCGCTCACGACATGTGCGAAGCTGGGCCTCAGGAAGCTCCACTCATTGTCCAGAGTGCCCTTGCAAACAATGAGCATCGAGACAATGTTTTGCAGCTTAGCGCCGCCACCATCTGTCATCTTCACGAAACTTTTCGTAGCTTCGCAAACTTCTGCAATTGTGACCTTCAGCTTGATCAGCAGAGGCACAGAGGAGCCGGTGGCACCAATCAGTGCATACTTAGACAACCTCTCCTCGGAGGGCAAGCTCAGAAGATCGGCAGTCCCTGCCAAAAGCTGTGCTGCTTGCACAGCTGCAATTCTCCGCGAAAGGCTGCGGCCTTCTTTCGACGTGTCTCCCAACTTCTCCAGCAGACGTGTGGCCTCACTTTATCCCTTTCTCAAACACAAGATGCTCTCAGTGCACTGAGTTCTGGCAAAGACTTGTTGCCACAGGTTTGGGATATTAGAAGCTAGGCCTAGGCTGCACTTTCCCAAAGCGAAAGAAGATTGCAAGGACTTATAGCACAGTTTCGATGCGAAACAAAGAACGAACATCGCAACTTAAAGGAGTGGAATGTAGGACACTTGACCTCGAAATAAGCTCTCTGTGTCTGTCAATCAGATCCCTACGTCGCCCTTCAGTGGCCTACCCTATCGAAAACTCAAAGGCCTGCCTTATGTAAGCAACTCTTCGGCCAACATCTGAATTCTGAATCCATAGGATTCCTAGTCAGACTCCTAGGTCCTGTGCTATGTCCTACGTCCTACACGCTTATTCATCGACATCCATGACATCCATGACTGTTCATCGCTGGGCAAAGTGCGGAATGCTTTAGGCCTTGCCATAAACTCCATGGAACTCATAGGCCGAGTCAAGTTGCAATCAAAGTTTAAGAGTTTCGAAGGGAAGTCTGAAAAGCTCAGGTGCCTCTCTGACTCGGAAAAGTGTGAAGAAGTGGAGAACACCATAGAAAAAAACTATATATGGAAGCGAAAGTGCACCATGAAATTCTGTTCTATTCTATTCACAAAAGCCAGAAACTCTGCTGTGAACTTGTGAACTGCAAACCACATTGACAATGGCTTACTGATGCGAACTCTCTGAGCCACCAGCGCCGGTGCATTGGTTGCCCATCTTGGCACCTTCTAGAGCCCGTGCAACGGTCAGGTTGGTCATACTGTCGGGAACATAGCCAAGTTTGAGAGCCACCTTGCAAAGTTCGGGATCGTGGCTGAGGGCAGCCTTGATTTCTTCCTGCGGCTGAGGTTGGGCCTCATCCGCATTGCGTGCGCTGCCGGTGCTCCTCCTTGGCACTGAGGAGACCTCCGCCCCCCCCCTCAAACTGCCCTGTTGCTTTTTTCTCTTCCTGGTGGCAACGCCTGCACTTTTGTCGACGGTAGTCGTTCCCAGCCCAAAAGACAAACCTCCCTTCATCAGCGGCTCGTCGTCCTCCTGCTCTTCGACCTCGACAGCATTGGCATCATCAAGCTCGAGCTCGAGCTTGGCGGCAAGCTCCTCATCCTTCTTCTTGCGTTTCTCCTCAAGATCGAAGGCCTTCTTGCGCAAGGCACTGATGGTCGGCATAGTTGCCAGGAGCTCCAAAGGGCTGGGGGCAGATCGGTCCGGCATCCTTGCGGCCACTCCAGGCAGCACATCAGCCCCTTGGGCCAAACGTAGCTGTCGGCTCGGTTGCAAGATCTCCTTCTCGTGCTGCGCATGGAACTTGAGCTCCCACTTGATTCGCCGAAGCCCGAGTAAGTCCCTCTCCCTGATGTCCTCCGGGAGGTCGTCAAAGCGAACATAAAAGCCGGCGACTACTCGTCGCCCACACTCACTCAATCGGTTGACTTTGTCAAGCTTCAAAGCAGTCGAAGTCGCACCAATGAGCTTCACCATTTGGTTCTCGGTCAGGAACAAGCATTCTACCGTCATCGACTCTGAGATCGACTGCACTGCCTTCACCGAGGATGGGGGATCGAAATACTCCAACTCCTCGTCGGCGTCAAGCCGGGCCAGTCTCTCACAGCTCCTGTCGACGTCTCTCACAAACCCTTTGTTGGCTTTGTCGTTGGAGTTGTAGCGAGTCATTGCCTCAACCCAGTCGATGTCGAACCCTGCCGTCACAGCCGTGAAGCAGATGCGGCAAGCATCTTCTCGGCCGGCCATGACAACAAAGCCCCTGTCCTGAAGACACATGAAGGAAACAACAATCAGCAAATTCCGGGTCGATCAAACACAACCCTGACGTTCGGCCACCATAGCCCGGAAAAGGATTCATAGCAGCAGCTACAGCGTGCAAGGATTGGTGACTTGATGTTGTTAGCAGCTTAGGTCTAGGCTCTAGACTCTAGCTGCTTGCCAGGAGGTCCACTAAGCCAGTTGTTACGCCTGGGGCCTGTGGGAAATACAAGACCCTCTGAAGCAAGCGAGCAGGACCCTTGACCTTTCCTCACCACCTAGATCTAGGACCTACAGTTGTATTCACCGCAAAGCACAATCACCAACACCGAGGTCCTTTGAACTTCGCTTGCACCGCAGGCATATGATCACGACAGCATTTGATGACGTGGCTGAGCCGCCTCGGGATGATCGACTCGGGGCTTCCACCTGCTCGATTTTGACCTGCCAGGAGAGCCGCAACATCATAAAACAAGCCCCTCATTCAACTGAGTTTGTGTCTAGTGAGTCTAATCTAGTACTCTACTTTCTACATTCAACAGATTCTACAGTGTCTACAGTTTCTACAAAGCGCACCCTCTTCGCAGGAGGACCCATGGCCAAGGAAAGGCCAAGGAAACGCTGGAGCAGAACGTGCTATGGAATCCAACAAAGTGTTTTTAAGGCATGGAATGCTCGGTGCTTCCCTACCTGAAGCAACTTGACTGATGGAACCCGGCACAGCAAAGCTTCAAGCCGATGCTTTAGCAGCAGCATAGCCAAATGCACTGGTCAGGTACTCTGTTCTCCTTCCACAGGAGAGCATCTAACATATTCGAATTGGCACGCTGCCCGAGCTGCAAGGAGACGATCCTACCTACCCTTACCGAGTGAACAGACTCAGCCTGAAGTTGATGCCGAAGCTTTTGGGTGTCATGTAGGAATCTAGGACCTAGGACTAGGACCCTCCTAGGAATCTATACCTAAGGACCACCCCGCCTGTAAGGAAGAAAGCAATGGGTCGCAAAAAAACCATTACCTTGCTTCTGGAATTCTAGACTCTAGGTTCTACATCTAGGAATCTAGGATCTAGATACAGTGTTCTGTGCTTTTGCTTTTGCAGCGAAGACTCTCCGAAGTGTTTATGACACAGAGGTTCTCATGGTCGACAACACGGCTGATGCCGACTGGATGCCTGCTGTTGGATATGAAGCTGTTGGATGTACCTGTGCCTCCGGCCTGGAATTACGACAGTCGTTGACTACACAAAACTAGATCAAGACGAGTAAGACTGCATGAGTAGATTGACTAGTTGAAATTAGACAAGAATGTTTAAGTCACTCGAATAGACTCAGCTGAACATATGTGTAAAGCTGGCCCAAGCCTTGGTTAAATTTGTACTATCAGTTGTTACTATTCGTTGCTATCCAAATCTGCGACCTATCGGACCTATCTAGAATCTAGAATCTAGATTCTGGATTTTGGGCCTTTGGGGCTCACCGAACGAACCTCCAGTGTGGAAATCGCCATCTGCATGCAAGCTGTGGTCGGAAGTCTATGACCTCAGCCCCTGTGCGCAGGGCAACTCCTTTCAACATTATCATTATTATTTCTGCGATGAATTGTGGCGCCGCTGCCATGCTCAGCCTCACCAGTCATGCAATCTCATCATAGCCCTAGGCCCTAGGCCCCAGGCCCTAGTCCCTAAGCCCTTGTAGAGAAGCCTGCACTATGTGTCCTAGTCCCAATCCATTGAATCATTTTTTAACCAGTAATCAGAACTCATTAATCAACAAAACAGGACCTACTCAGCAAACTAGTAACTAGTCGCTAGACCGCTAGACTCACTAGACTACTACGCAATAGTTAGTATAACTAGTCAGTTATCACTAGTGTCACTAGTGACCAATTAGTAGTTACAATTACATTGCGAATTGAGTCATTGAGGCACTGAGCCTGACAATAATTCCGGCTGGTGCCAGCGGCTGGTGCATAAGCCCTGCCCTAAGGCCCTAAGCCCTAGGCCCTAGGCATAGTCCTTGCCCCGACTCCGGTGACTGTCCACAATTCTCTAGATTCTAGTCGATTCTAGTCACAGTAACAGTCACAATTTACTACAAGATAGCATACAGAAGAAGAAAACCGCTGCAAGAACTTCAAAGTCTAGCTCTGGACTCTAGACTCTAGCCGCTACTGCAGACACTAGTCACCAATCCAAAGGCTCAAAGGTCGAAACATTTGCACTGCTCGCCGGCTCGTGACTCCACGTCAGGAGGCAGAATATCATTATGCCACTGTATGTCCAAGTCTCTGTGTGTGCGATATACTTTATCTCTATCTTCTATCAAGATTCTTTGCAGTGCTGTGTTTTTTGCCAAGAAAGAGCATCTGGAAGCTTGGCAACCCTTGCTGGACTGGCTTGTGTCTTAAGGCTTATAAGGCTTCAGGCATTTTTTATGGTTAAGGGTGTTTGGGGTCTTAACTTGGCCGAAAACCCAACACCCAACTGGCTACCCCATACCCCTGCCTAGCTGTCCGCTCATCCTGTCCCTAACGGTTTGGTACCTTGAGGCTTCTAGTTTCATTGTCTTGCAGCTTAAAAGCTTAGAAGCTTTGGGGTGTGAGTGCCAGTTTAGGTCTGCGACATGGGAATGAAGTTATATTGCGCTGTGGTCAGTCACTGAAAGGACTGTGTAGCGGTGTAGCGGTGTAGTGCAGTGGTCATGGCTTGTGCGGTTGAGCCACTCCGGCCGGAAAGCAGTGGTACTGGATTAGCCAGCAGATTGCTGCGGGTGACATTCGCCTATATGGCCCAAATTAATGCTCTAGCATGATCCTAGGTCCTAGGTCCTAGGTCCTAGGTCCTAGGTCTTAGGCCCCAGGTTGTGGCTCAAGGTTGACTCAAGGCTCAATTACTTAGTCTGAGTTCTCAATTACTTAATTGCCACCCATGTCCGGAGCTTCGAAATTTCTCCGGCGCATCACCTGAAAACTCCACAACATCATGCCCAGGCACGGCAAGCTGATCGTGTTTCCGGCCAGCCGCTTCAGCTGCCGGTTCGTGAAATCCTCAGGAATGATCATATCCCTTGGGTACCCGAGGATTGCTAGCATCTCCACTCCAAGGATCACTCTGTCCTCTCTATATGAATACAACTCTGACGAAGTTGTGAAGCAAGGGTGCACACCCGACTGCTTCGTGAAAGTGCCCCTTGCGATAGACTGGGACACATCAAGTACTGTGTTCATAAGAGTTTCAGAAGTGTTCTTTGCTTTCCTGGAGAGGATCTTGGCTGCCGTAACATCCAGTGCATCCTGCACCCGATCAGTCAAGCCCAGTCCCAATCCCTGGAAAGTCGCTTTGCCTGTCCAGATCTTCGAAGAAACTGATATACCCAAAGTCTCACGAAGCTGCGCAGAGTGCAGCTGCCACTCCAGGTCTTGCGCGGTCTTGCCGGCAGAAGCCGCGGACTTTCGTCGGCCATCCTGGGGTGAGGGATGTGCTAGGCTTTACATTTTAGATTGCAACACACAATCTAATGAGTCTAATCCAAGATCTAGGACCTAGCTTGGGCTTTGCTGGGGCGTGTGGGTGTTGGTTTTGGCTTTGTCAGGTTTGAACCGAGACCGGGTTTCAAGTGTAATTTTGTAGAACCGAGGGCATCGGGCTGCTGGTTCAAGAACTACGGCATATAATATAAGGATCTGAGAATCTAGGCCGCTAGGCATCTGGGATCTAGGACCTAGGATTGTGGGAGGAGTTTTGATTCAGGACCCTTAGTTGGACCTAAGATGTAGCAGCTAGCGGAGGGTATTGGGCCATTTCAAGGGTTTGGGCCTGGGACCTAGGACCTAGGGTCACCCTTGGGCGGGCTTTCGGGGCTCAGAATGCGGGGCCGTGTTTCTGGGACGTTTCTGGCACGTTTTTTTCACGTTTCTGGCACGTTTTTTTCACGTTTTACTAGGGAAAACGTACATTTCGGCCGCCCCAGCTCAACTTCCGAAAACGTGCCAAAAACGTGCCAAAAACGTGCCGTGCCAGGGCGGGGTGGGGCGGGGTGGGGCCAGGCCCAGGGGCCCAGGGTTTCCGAAGAGCCCAGGAACCGAACACCAGCAAGAGCCTGCAACAGCAGTGCAACCAAGGAGCAGCAACAGCCTTGTCCATCCATCTGCGAAACAAAGGTGAATCCTGCAGCAAGCATGGCAAGAGGTACATCAACTGAAATAGGAGGGCCTGAGGGTTCTAGGACGATTCCAGGGCTTAGGGCTTCCGGCTATCGGACGGCCATCGGCTTTCACAGCTCAGTAGTGGCAACACTTCCAATGTCCCAAGCTGCATGTCCTTTGGAAGCAAGAAGTCGAGCATTTCTTTCGGTGTCTGGGTCTGCACATTCGCCATCATCTCCTGGCACTAAAATTGCTCATTTGCTAAATGTATCGACAGTATTGCACAGCTTCTGTTTGAAAGCATGTGTGTCTACCGGGCACAAGCAGAGTGCAATATTCAATACACGATTCTACCCGAGTCACCTCAAGCAGAACGATCCAACGCTACACCGAAGTGTGGAAGAAGCCAGGGCTTAAGCCAACAACCAGCAAGGTCCTTCAAGATGTACCTCCAAGCTGCAGCATCCTTGGAAGTGTAGATGTCCTTCCGCAGGAAGCCAACAAAAATCCTGAACACAGGCAGTCTGTCACGAGCAGGGTCAGGCAGGAAGCATGGACGGGGCTTGTGGTTGGGTTCAAAGCTCAGTGCTGTTTGGTTTTAGGACCTTAAGACTTTAGGGCCTTTAGGGGTTCTAGTTAGTCACTGCCAGTCTTCCCAATGCGGCAGCAAAGACAGATGGTTTTATTAGCTCATGCCTGCTGATTACAAATGAGCTAGGGATTGGCAGCCTAGCAGCAATGATTTGTGTGACTTGGCAAAACAACAAATGACTAGCCTAACGAGAATGACAAGAATCACTGGCATCTTGCGTTAGCAGAAGGCTAGAAGTAAAGCAACCAGTCCAATCAATAGAGTCTAGAGTCTAGAGTCTAGAGGGTGCAACCAACAAGCCCAAGAGTCGCGAAGGTCGGCGAACCACACCCCAGGGCCCGCACTCAAGCATAATGTAAAATGTAAAAGTTTCGCTAGTGACGCTAGTGTCACAAGGTCCGAAGCCCCCACAAAGTTCAACATCTCAAGATTGGCAGCCCGCAAACCCTCCCAGTCCAAAAACCTCACAACTACCTACAGCCTTAAAATGCCCCCAAAGGCCAAAGGCCCCTAACTTCCCTAAATCCCAAAAACCTTGAGCAGGAAGGCAATGGGACCGAGTTGCGAACGGTTTTTCGTTTCGGCCCTGCATCCTCGTTCGAGGGTTGGCACCGGCTTCGAAACACATTGTCGCATATTGAAAGATTGCTCCACAGAAGTGGCCCATTGAGCCATCGAGCTGAAGCTTTCACATCTTCAAGCACTCCACAGTAGCTGGGATATGTTTTCAATCTAGAATCTAGCATCTACCTGAATCTACCTTCTAGCAGCATTTTGATGTTGGCACTCCATGTACAGCAACAGCGCCACCTTGAAATCGAAGAATCCGAAACCGGTAAGTAACAAGTAAAATTAAAACAAAACACAAACCCTGCACTACCCAATGCCCTATGCCCAAGCTATACCTATACCAGTGTACCATAGACTATGTGTGCATATGTGTGCCATAGACTATAGACCCTGTACTGAACCTTACTAAGGCTTAGGTCGTACACACTCGTAGCAGATGTGATACAGAACCCGAGAACCCTGTATTCCCAGATTTGGAGCCATGAAGAAATTGCGCAGATTCTCATGATGACTTGCCAAACATCAAAGAAAGCGAGCTTAGCTCACCACCCGGGGTTCCTCGGATTCCCCAGGCTCCTTGGCACGCTCGTGCCTTGCAAAGTGCTGAGCTCCTGGCAAGGCAAGGAAACTAATCCGAGCCGCTCTACGGCTCTCATAGTCCAAGTGAACCGTCGATCCGTGAACATGCTGTTCGGCGTCCGAAAAATTCTTCGCATCCTTCAACCAAGCCAAAAGCTGCCCGAGCGGGCGGCCTTGACCTGGCCTGCTTGAACGAGTGCTGGGCGCTTTGCAAGTTCTATTCCTTTTGCATCCTTCCCCGTGTTGAGAGCAGAAAGCAGTGTAAGTCTGCGATCGAGGATTGTAGCGTATGGAGCCAAGGCGCCATACTGGAAAGCTTTCTTCCTTCACTGTCTTGACTCGGCTGCTAGCATCTGCAGGAGCATCCCTGGGCTCCGGTGCACTGGGCAGGTGCACAGCAGCAGGCTCGGTGGCGGGGCCAGCCTCTTCAGCACCTGCCAAAGCTTCCACAGCAGTTTGTAGATCCCGCAGAGCCGAACCAGCCCCGCCGACAGAAGATAATGGCTCTGTCTCGACTTCAGGAGGCTTGGCAGCCTCACCTGCATCATCTGCATGTTCTACGAAAGCCTCTGCAGCATCTGCCAGTATCTCCCAGTCAGCCCCAGACTCATTTTCTTCGTCATTTTCATCACCATCAACAGCATCCAGAAGTGCGTGGTCATTTCCGCTGTCAGCATCTTCTTGGCCGGCATCAACCTCAGCAGCATTCTCGGCTGGGCCCTTCTTGCTCTTGCGGACCTTGGGACATTGAGGAGGACCTGCCTACTTACCTACCTACGGACCTGCCTGCCTGCCTGCCTGCCTGCCTACCCACCTACCTACCTACCTCCCTACCCACCTACCTACCAACCACCTACCTACCTACGAACTGACCTACCTACCTACCTACCTGCCTACCTACCTACCGACCGACCTACCTTCCTACGTACCTACCTACCTACCTACCTACCGACCTACCTACCTACCTACCTACCTACCTACCTACCTACCCACCTACCTACCTACCTACCTACCTACTTATGTTCCTAGATTTGGGGCGGCTGTAGGGGTGCAGGTTGCTTACGTTCCTAGATTTGGGGCCGTTCTAAAGGTGCAGGTTGCTTACGTTCCTAGATTTGGGGCCGCTGTAGGGGTGCAGGTTGCTTACGTTCCTAGATTTGGGGCCGCTGTAGGGGTGCAGGTTGCTTACGTTCCTAGATTTGGGCCAACCCTCCCCTTACCTACCTACCT